TCTTCTAGTCATTTGCTTCAGTCTTGTCTTCATTCTCCAGTATTATTTTTTTCCAGAGTTTCTTTAGCAAGAGGCTCATAGAAACTCAAAAATATCCTACCAGCCAAGACTGTTAACAAAGGTAACATTTTCTAAATTAGTAAGCTGATTCATTCATTCAGTTAGTAAATGTTTATTAGCTCTAATTCTTCCAACATTATTATATACTTGGGGCAGATACTTAACTTTTTTCTTTCCCTCACTCACACCCAAAGAAACATCTCAAATTTCAAAACATTATAGAGCAGAGTAAAACTTTCAAGATTAAGGTAAAAAATCCAGACCATTATAGCACTCATTAGCCCTGGGACTATTGACATAGCATTGGAAATTTCTGTACTTCATTTTTCACAGTAGTGGTGAAAATAGCAATTCCTTTCATTCTAACTTAATGGTAATTGTGAGAATCTGTTGAGATATAAGACGGAAATTTAATTTATAAAGAAAAAAAAACAGCAGAAAAGAGATTTGAGAGGGAAACAATGTATTTTTGCATTTATAATATAGTGTTGATATTAAATTGTCTATACCATTTAAGGAAATGCCTACCTGATTATAAATATTTTTGAGGCTAAAATGTTTTTTTTTTAATTTCTATGACAGTTATGTAAAAATAAATATAGAATTTCAATAATTCTAAACGACATCCAGTCATTTAAGAAATACTTTGTAGAATGTACATAACACCAATGAATCAGATTGAAACATTTCAATAGTTAGAGAAAAGACAATGGCATGACTCAGGCCTGAGGAGGCGTACATGATAAATGCTATCGCCCTTAAGTATGTTGTGTCAAGGAAAAAATCTAGTCAAGGACAAGCCACATTTAAGCTTGAAGAAGACATGGTTCTATACAAAGGCTCTCAGGGCTACATTTTCTGAACAACAGGGACCTCAAGGGTCCTCAGGAAGAATGAGTCATGCACCACTAAAGCAGGATACATCAGCTGGCATTCAGAACTAGGAGCAAAGTTTCTGTAAGTTTAAGCACCCTTCCTTAGAGTGTTCCAGTAAGCTGCCTTCTACCTTCACCTGTATATCGCCATATGGCTTATTTTTAAACCTATTGGTTTGTGCTCACTAGATTCAGCTTTCATTACTTTTTGGGCAACCATGAGCATTTAAAATAGTATGGAGTTTTAAAAGCAAAAGCCCAGTGTCATCTAAACCTTACCCCTACCCTTGACTAAGGAGACCATCATGTACAGCCCTGTTTTCATATCCAGAGGAAGAAGGCCCAAATAGTCTCTAAACATTGTGATGACTCACATCAAAAAGTAAGATAGGGCCCTCCCTGGTGGCACAGCAAGTTAAAGCACAGCACTAAGAAACTAAAGGCACTTCACAATGAGTTTGATCCCCACCCGGGATAGAGGTAGCCTGGCAGACCTCTCCTGACCCACCTGCTGCTCCCCTCAGCAGTGTACTTTATTGAGCTGCCTGTTCTGCACCCCACTCTGTCTCTGGGAATCCTCTCACTGCCCCTGCACCTCTGGCTTGTACCCCAGTTCTGTATGTGTAAATAAATAAATCTTAAAAAAAAAAGTGAGACAACTGTGTGCTAGATCAACTAGATGCTAGACCCTTCCTTTCCTATTATTCCATTTATTGTTATTTTTATTATTCCTATTATTCCATTCTAATTCTCTTCTTTAGTAAGGGATCACATCTTTGCAGACAATGCAAAAATGCCAGCACAAGTTGCAACATAGGTGGGACCCAATGAAAGCCACACTGTCCTTGAGGCTCAGTTTCTCGACTCCTTTATTAACCTTTTCTTTTTCTCCTTGAACTAGCTACAATCAGTAATGATTCCAGAACAGAGACAATCAAACTCTATGCTTTTAATCTATTTCAATTCTGTTTCGTGAGCTGTAAAAATGGCTGCTCATATTACCTCTTAATAATTCAGCTATTTTGTGTGCAATAATTACATCTCTCCTACCTACAGAGCTAAACTGACAAGTTCACATATTAGGATACAGGAGCCTTAAACTAACCCTTTCCGGCTGACAGTCATTCCAACCTCTGTGTTATAGTTTATATCATAGTTTTCTTTTTCAAAGACATTGTTATTTTCAGAATTTAATTCTGAGGAGAGTTCATGATAACAAATATTGTAAATTCATTCATAAAGATGAAAAAAAATTATTTAATTACTAACATGTTACTTAAAAATAAAAATGTTCTGAAGAAAAAAATGCCATATAATATCCCATACACAAACAATTATTTTTAATCTATTCCACTTCCAGATAATGTAAATACTGGATTACTGTCATGGAATAGATATTAAAGTGATTGAATTTATTAATTGTATCATCTCAGTAGATGTTCTGTTTGTGTGTGATAAGTTTCCATGATAATAAGACCTTCACAAACCTACCTATACCTCAAGGACATTTGGGGATTAAAATTTAATTTAAAACTAGGTTAAACATCTTTGAATTCTCTAGAGAAAAGGTCTAATCTAAATACAAAGAAATTATCGTCAATGTCAGTCAAAATCATAATTAGCAATTTTTTCTAGAGAACACAAACACAAAATTATTTTACTAGGTAAGAGACTATTATTATATTTATGATGAGTTTTTATAATTGCCTCTTTGAAATAGTTTCTTAAAATATCAAGTCGGGTACTCCCTGATGGCACAGCGGGTTAATGCACAGCACTAAGAAGCTAAATACACTTCAGCATGAGTTCAATCCCCGCCTGCCCCGGAGGTGACCCACATGGCATGGCAGACCTCTCCTGACCCGCCTGCTACTCCCCTCAGCAGTGTACTTCATCAGTTGGCCTGTTCTACTCCTTCCTCTGTCTCTGGTGAATCCTCTCACTGCCCCTGCACCTCTGGCCTGTACCCCAGTTCTGTATGCATAAACAAATAAATCTTTTAAAAATATATATTAATTCAAAATATTAACATCAACATGGCCAATCAGCTTGATTGAATGAGTCATATATTAAGAGCCAAGTAGGTTTTTCTAACATTTCACATTTTCTAACATTAACATTTTCAAAATTTCTAACATTTAGCAGATAAAATAATTGACATTTTGGCAATTATAAGATGGCTTGCTGGTTATAAATGTAGGGCACCAAAACCACTGCTTAAAAGGGGAGGGGGAATCAGTACTAAATATTGAACTACATATGTACACACGTGCATATATTAGCCTGATAATATATGTACATGCACACACTTACATATGATTAAATTACATTTATTCATCCAGCATCTAAAATCTATTATTTGTATATAATGCTGAGTAGAATTATACGTAAGGACATTAAAAACACTTGATTTTTCTACATTTCTCTCAAAAACAAGTATGTCATTATTTTCAATATTAAAATAGTTGTAGTAATATTTCCAAATTTAAAGTGGGAAATGCTCTGCTTCATTGTTACTGCAGTGCTAGTTTCCATGGCAACACCTTCACTTCACTGTGCTAATAATCATAGACTCTCAGTGCTGGAGGGGCTTGGAAAGTATTAACATTGCTCTCATTGCAATGTTCACTTTGGGGAGTCAGACTTCAGACTCCCAAATTCACACCTTACCACTATCAGCTTAGTAGTTAGTGTCAGAGCAGGAAGTTAATGGTGGTTCCTTTGACCGCCAAGTCAAGCACTTTTTCAAGTATACTGTACAGTTTGCCACACTGTTCTAAATCGACACTAAAATTACATACAAACACATATATACACATAAAAGCATCCCATACATATACACACACACATCATATATGTAAACACCAACATAACCAAGTGATTTAAGTCCATCTCTTTTAATAATTTTTTTCTGACTTTTAAATATTTAAAAATAAAATTTTAAAAAGAAATTTTGTCATTTGGCATTGTAAACAGATGACATTTTTGCTATGATTGTAGGGCACAAAATGAATTGCTTAAAAAGGGTAAAAATATATACTAAACAGACACTTATCTTTTTAATGTTTCCAACTGCTTGCCTAGAAATTTTCAGTGAATTTACTAAAGGTGTCTGTATATAAGAATTTGTCATAAATTAGAAGACATAAAGAAAAAATTCAATAATATGTAGGCAACTCATTTCATGTTTCAAATTGCTAACCACTGTAAGAATAAGAAATACAACACACTAAGAGAAAAGTAATTTTATTTAATCCAATTTTTAATGAGTCTAGAGCTTAGGTCTGTGTTGTCCCACACAATAGTCACTAACCTCGCAATGAATCCCTTGAAATGTGGCTAGTCAAAATTGATTTATGCTACAAATATAAAACATACCGCAGACTTCAAAAACTCTGTCCTAAAATTGAAGTGCAAAACATGTCAATTTTAAACTGATTATGATGAAGAGATTTTTCTATTTAATAAACTATTATTGGAGTTAATATGAATTGTTTCCTTCCATTTTTTTTAACATGAGGACTAGACAAAATTTTCCCCTCCCCCTTCCTCCTGGAAAGTTTTAAAATATAAATTAGTCTTGTCTTTGTGGTTCACAATTATATTTCTATTAATCATTGTCGGTGTCAGCGATTCACATGCTAACCTTCCTGTGTGAAACACTTTATTTTCCATTTCCACAAGTTCAAAATTACTCTGCATTATCAACAGTGACCTACTCCTTCAACCATTTTCTGGTATCTTCCCTCAAGGAGTAAGCTTTCCTCTGAATTCCACAACATCTTGTTTCTGATCTACCTTATATTACTCTAATGTGATACTAGAATTCAAGTTACTGGAAAAATAGGATCTGTGGATGGTTTCAAGAAATCTCTCATCCACAAAACAATTACAATAGAGCTATAGTAAAGTATAGCAAAATTTTATTAGACAGGCAATGAAACTTAATTATTTTCAGTTCACTTTCATTCAGATTTATTTCTAATTCATTTTCATGATGATACAACTATTTGAGAAATCAGAGATTTCTAAAGCAGATCTATGACTTAGCAAGAAGATACATACCAGTTGAGTCTCAGATACTGTAGAGGATACTGAAGAAAGGTTTGCCTGCAAAATTATAAACATGGTGTTTATTTAGCAAACTTTGAATGTGTACAAAATATTCAACATTTTTGAGTATTTCATTTTTAGTATTAAAATAATACATGTCAATTTTAAGATTGACATCTTAAAAGCAAATATTTACTAACAAAATTATCTTTAATATTATTGATACATTGCTTAACAATATTTTGCTGGGCATTTTATTAAACTCATTTAATAGTTAAAAACATCTCAACATAAACACAACCACAATACATCCGGAATACTTAAAGATGATGTAATACCGTATTCCTATCTATGCCATACTTTATTTAAACATATCAGTGTTGCTGGATATATTATTTATTTATAGAAAATTGAAACATGCAACAGATTTTTTCCTCAAAGAATCTTAAGAGAAAAAGTTTTCATGATTTGGGGGAAAAAATGATTTGTTTATTTTAAATTGGTTTTAAGTTACAGAGGAGACATATTGTTCCTTCCTCCTTAGTTCTGATTTTGACTTAATTTAGATCATTTCCTTTTACTAGTGTAAATGCAATGGTAAATGCCTTGGACTTTGACTGAAAATGTTTGTATTTTGTTTTTAGTTTTTATGAGAATTCTATAGGACATAGAACTCTAGGGTAATGGTTATTATCGCTCAGTCTTTTAAAGAGATTGTCACATTAGAATCTTCATTTGGCTCCTGTTACTCGAGTCAGTCTAAATGTCATAATGTGGTAGATCATCTGCGTTCGCATTTGGTTAGTTTTAAAGATTTTCTCCATGACATTCAGTTACTTCACCACAATGTGTCTGAGGGTGGATATCTTTCTGTGTGCTCTTTTTTGAAGTCTTGGTGTTTCCCTATATTTTGAGTATGTCTATCTTTCTTCATTTCTGGAAAATCCTCCATGAACAGTTCCTCAAATGTTGCCTTACTTTCATTAAATCTGATCTGTTATTAGAGTAAATATAATTCTTTTAAATATAATTCATCTCAATTATATATTTATAAACTCTCCTTTTGTATTTTTCACTTATTTATTCTGCTTTCTCGTTGGCTCCCACAAATAAACCTGCAAATTAACATATTTTTCAACTCTATACTAGTACATTTAACATGGTAAATGAATTTTATATTTCAGTGACTTTAAATTCAAAGAAATTCTATTTGGTTATTTTTCAGGTCCTTTTATGGTATCTATAACACCTCAATTATTTCAACACTCTAATTACATTAATAAATTCTTTCCAGACTTTTCTACAATTTCCCCATTATTAAATCTGCTACTCATATCTGCAGACTCTTGTTAATGTCTCTCCCCAATAATATGCATAATTCATCCTATTGCTTTTTATTCTTGATTTGGAGCTCTTCAGTTAGGGTGACTTTGGTGATGACTTCCATAGGTGCCCTCAGGGGGAAAACATCCCTGTAGTACAATTCACGTTTACTCTTGTAGGGGATATTAAAATTTTCTTTGCTTCTGCATCAGTTCCTTTTTTATTTCATTACTCTGATATTCCTAAATCAAGCGTTGCAGATCCACACATCTATCATTTTCACAGATTTGGACTCATTTTCTCATACATAGCTCTTTCACCACCCAAAAAATTAGGGTGCAAGGGTTTGTCTGTTATTCTGTTTCATGCTTAATGATCTATGTGATCTCCCAGGCTTCCAGAAAATTCTTTATAAATCTTAGACTGTTATGTAGAAAAGTTAAAACCAACGCTCTTGAAAAGACGAATACAGTGTGACTTCACTCATGAAGTACACAAAAGACAAAACAAAAACAAACCCTTAGACTCTGATGCCAGAATGATGGTTACCAGAGGAGGGAAGGAGGGTGAAACAGAGACATCTACATTTGCCAAGGTGAGAAACAGAATACCTAGAACTTTCACTGTGTTATAAACTAATTCACTGCAATTAAATAGAATAAAAAAGGAAGTCATAATTGCAACCAAAAATAAGACAAGGTAATAAAAAAAGAAACAAAACACTAAACTTTGCCTACTCACATCAAATTTCTGATACCCCCCTGTTCCACCAGAGTACTTCTTAACACTCCCTCAAGAAGCTTCTTCTACATTTTGGCATTCAGAAATCTTTGTTTTTCTTTATCTCTTTAGTATTTATAAATCTTTCATCATTATGTTTTGTTAGGTATTTTTGCATTTAAATGGGGAGCTCCACATTAGTTCAATATTCAGTTCTGAGGGAATGTGGTCAACATACAGATGCATAATTATAAATACATTTGGATCAATATGATAAAGCAGTGTTTCTAAAATATTTCTATTTTTGGAAATTGTAGATATTGTCAGGGCTCATTTTAGATATGCCAGTATTGTTTTTATTTCTGTGACATGAGTAATATAGTATGAGAGTGAAAATATACTGGTTCTTATTGGATAGCCAAGTGCATGGGGCTGTGATCCCCAGGCAGGTGACAAGGTACACGGCATCCTTCTCACACTGTGTCCAGCACTATTTTCTGTTCTTCCACTCCTTCCATTCTTCACAAGAGCTGTCAGTGCTGTTGTATTTCCTGGTTGCTGGGTGACAGTGGGGTATCATAGCTAAGTGCTCCCCATCTCTAATTGCTGTGGACCAAGTCAGTGTGAAAAGTGGTTTATGGTTATTCTGTGCTACAGAAAATTGCCCATCATAATGTCCATCTCAGTTGTTTTTCAGTTCACCTAGGATTTCATTTTTAACATGACTATGTATTTCTTCTACAACCTTAGTTTTTACCCTTTAATTAATTTTTCATTATTGCATTAATGAAAGAATCCTCTATGAATTCCCTATGTTAAATTAATAGCTTCCACTAAATATGCTGAATTAGCGCGTGATTCTTGATTAAAAAAACAGTAAAAATTTTATCTTAATAATTGTAGGAAGCTATACTTCTTAATACTCACATATTTAAAAGTGCTAGGAGAGCATAATTTAAAAATCACTACAAGAAAAAAAAATTATGACTGTATGATGATGGATGTATATCTGATATACTCTGGTAATTACTTCACAATAACATAAATATTATTTCACACACCTAAAATGATCATCATGCTATATGTCAATTATACTTCAATAAAAATAATTATAGGACTTGTTCAATTTAACTACATTACCAATATCTTCCAGTATATTGTCATTATTGCTAAATGATACCAAATAATCACAAGGGAGAAAGATAAAATTCTCAAGCAAATAACCTATTCAAATTAGGGAAACTCCCAAGTATCCATAAGGCCCAAATTCATTCACTGGGAATCATGTCACAATAATAAGACAACTTAGATATCCCAGCACATTTTTTTTTCATCTAGGATAATTAACTTCTTAACACTATTGTGAGAAAGTGTTTTTAGAGAAAGGACAAAATCAAATGTAAGCTCAGGATGGAGTAATATTATAAAGTCAACAGAGGAATTTTCCCTCCCAAAGTAATAATAAGAAGAATTAGCACAAATACAATCAGCAAATTATCACAAATACAATCAGGATCTTTCAACCAACCTAATCATTTCAAACTCTTTGAGAAGCCTTCATCTATATGCCTAATGTAGGTCAATGTTTTTATCTAATAATGTGGCCACAGTTTTGTTATCAATCACATCACACTTATTTTCCAAAAGTGAAGAAATATCATTTGGTGATCTGAGCCTGGAACAGTGAGTGGAGATTGGGTACTATATTTCATCCACTACCTAATAGTCAACTAAGATAGATAAAAAGCTTGAGGTATATGAACTTGAGTTTATAACATTAAATTTGAAATTGAATTTAAATGGCACAAAATTTTTAATCATTCATATCTGTCTATGTAAATACATGAAGAACAACATGAGAGATGCTGTAAAGATAGCTCTGTGTCAAACAAAGCCCCAGAATTTATATTCTACAGCCTTTGACATTAATTAAATTACACAAGAAATGAAAGAGGGTGGGAACTAGGCAGTATATTATCATAAAATAAAAATGAACAAAACTGTCAAAAATTGAGAAGTGCAAAATTTCTTCAAAAGAATCTGTGAGTCAAGTTACAAGAAAGCAAAGACTAAGCAGAGAAATGAGGATTTGAATTCCACTGAAAATTAAATTGCTCCATAAGGCCACTACTGTGCCAAAGCAGCTTTGGAGAAACTACATTCCTTTTCCAATGACTTTTTGATTCCAAAAGCTACTAAAACATAATCAAGCTCCTTGGTCACTGCCTAGAGTTAATTTTCCTTGCAATCTGCTCCCCCACTCTTGACAAATGTACTTTTAGCTGGCATCTTCTAGCAGAATTCTCTTGAAGAATGGGATGAAATCAAGTCAGATAAAAAGTGTTAAATAGTTGTTTTTGTCATCTGTTCTCTGTACTTCCACTTTGGACATGCATTCTTCCCTTTCAGATATCACATCCCTAAATATAACATGCAGTTCAATACCCTTAAAATGTCTCTTTTTTGCCTTTTCCTTGTTGACACTACATGCCCTGTTTTGTTTTGTTTTTTTTTTATGGTACTCTAATTAGTATAATATGTTAAATGAACTATGTTCTTCTCCAGAGCAAGACTGAACTACAAATAAGCAAAAGGAAACACTCAAATTATTAACTGAGCACATAATAATCACTGTTAAACCTGGCATTGAGGAGGTATAAATTTATAAAATTATCATACATTGTCTTCTTAGCCAGAGAGTGTTCCTATTACATTTATATACAAATAATACAAATTTTTACAAATTTTTATATAAGGCCCTACGCAAGAGAATGAATCAGTGGTAAGAATTTTACCAATGCCTTAGAGAATATTAGACACTAATTCCACTAGGAGAAGTGGAAATCACACTTTTATGGCTTTGAAATGTTTTATTCTATTGGTAGACCTTACGATGTATGAATATCTCATTAACATCCATATTATAAGTCAGAATTGTATCCCCAAAGATCCAAATACAAAAAGTGGATTGGAAATATTTAGATAGCTTAATTCTTTATGCCAGAAAATGATGA